CCCCCCCCGTTTGCCTAGCTCTAGCTTCCAGTTGTATTCCGGACCTGCTTTTTCGAAGTGGAACCTTTTCATCTCTCAAATGCATAATTAGAGAGTGCTTGATTGTGCAAAGGCCTTTTCAACCCATCCATTTGTCCAAATCACACCCCTGACTCTTCATACAACTGAGAAATAGGGCAGGAAATCTAGAAGGAAGGAGGGAGGGGGAAACGGAGGAGGAAAGAGAGACGGAGGGGCGGGCTCTGTGCTTTTCTCAATGAATGCTGAATCCTCTACAGATTTGCATAGGAATCAGTCTGGTCGTGCCATTGGCTAACAGATGTGGAAGGGGCGGGGCGAGTCCGCGCGGGCCGGGCAGTGGCGCGGAGTTGGCAAGTGAGACCCGCCCCCGCTGCAGACCCGCCCCCACCAGGCGCGCACTCGCGGCACAGCCAGCTGCAAGTGGCTGGGGCCCCGGCAGATGCGATCCAGCGGCTCCCGGGGCGGCAGTGGCGGTAGCAGCTGGCACCTCCCGCTGCTGGTCTCTGAGGGTCGCTGGGCAGCGAGACACCTTCCGCACACCCTCTGGCCCTCCCGCCGAAGCCCGGGTTGCTGTCAATGGGTGAGGCAGGGGCAGCAAGATTTCGGGCTCCCCTGAGCTGAATGCTTTCACTCGACTGATGCCGCTGGAGCACAGTGGTGCGAACTCCCGGAGCAAGGACGCAGCAAACTTGCGCAGCGGCGTCCTGGGCCTCCGATCTGAAGCGCCAGGGTTCCGATTCAAGCCTAGAAGTTCAGCGGGCAGTGAGTGCGCTTAGAAAGCTTCCCTCTGCGGAGAGTCGGATGAGGGTAAGCTAGAAGGCTGCTTTTGCTCTGGATTTCAGTCCAGACGAGGAGAGAGGAACGCAGAGGCGCCCGGGGGAACTGAGGAAGAGTCCAGGAGAACAGCTATGAGTCGCCGTTCTTAGTCCATAAAGTTGTGAGGATTGAAAGCCGTTGGGAGAACAGACAGACCCCAGCTCTGGCCGCGAGGGGCAGGAGAGGACGGTACTCAATAGCCGCCTTCCTTTAACCATAGTAGTATCTCTCATTCTGGAGCGCAGTGAGCTACAGACGGGGGTGCGGCGCTCGCGCAACGCTAGAGAGGCACAGGGTCCTAGCATATGGGCTCAGCACGCTTGCAGCCCGGTTTCCCTCAGCTTTCTATTTACATCCTTGGAGTTGGAGAAAAGTGAGAGGACAGAGTGCACGACCAATCCCTCAGAGATCAAGGGAAAGAAGGCTTTCAGGACCAAGGACCATTTTGAGCCCCTTACGACTTGGTGGGAAGTGAAGGGCAAGATTGGGACGGTGAGAGTCGGGAGAGACAAATATAAACAGCTCTCCTCAGTTGAGATGGGAACATTCAGGCTTCTGTGGCTGCTGCTGCCTTTGCAGCCCCTGTTGGCGGCAGCCTCAGGCTCCGGGACCGGGACTAGCCAGCGCGCGGGATCACTTGCTGTGGGGCCGCAACTGCAACCCCGGGAGCCGCTTAGCTACTCTCGCCTGCAGAGGAAGAGCCTGGCGGTGGACTTCGTTGTACCCTCGCTGTTCCGTGTCTACGCCCGAGACTTACTGCTGCCGTCTCCTTTCCCCTCTGAATTGAGGGATGGACGGCCTGAGGCACGCGGCTCCCTGGCTCTCGATTGTGACCCTCTAATTAGGCTTTTGGGACCACCGCCCGAGGTATCCCGGACCGCAGACTCTAGCTCTCCATCCCCCGCACGGACGCTGTCCAGGGTTCTGAAAGGCGGCTCGGTTCGTAAGCTCCGTCGCGCCAAGCAGCTTGTGTTGGAACTGGGAGAAGAGGCTATTCTTGAGGGTTGCATAGGGCCCCCAGAGGAAGCGGCTGCGGGACTGCTCCAGTTCAACCTCAGCGAGCTGTTCAGCTGGTGGATTCTCCATGGCGAAGGGCGGCTGCGGATACGCCTGATGCCCGAGAAAAAGGCGTCAGAAGTGGGCAGAGAGGGAAGACTGTCCGCGGCGATCCGCGCGTCCCAGCCCCGCCTTCTCTTCCAGATCATCGGGACCGGTGAGCAGCTCCCGCCTGAACATGCCGGAATTTGTCTTTTTAGTCACATTGATTTGTAATCATTGTTAATTAATCCACCTTTCCAAATTCCCAATCGCCGATTCTTATCCCTCTTTCCTTCTTCCACAAATCTCTTTCTCTGGCTCCACTATAGTTTTAAAATTTCTCCCTGAATGCAGGGCCTTTCTTTCTCTGTAGAAACCAAGTTAAGAGAAAAGTTTCCTACTCTTACCGAATGCCTACTTTTACCGACTTATACATGATTGGAGCCAAAACTGTGTGTTTTTCCTCCTGGGTCACTGAGACTGTTGAGACACTCCTATTTATTCTATGTTCCAAGCTTAGTTATCTCTAAACTATTGCCATGCTTCCTTCTCCTTGATTCCTCTTCCTGCAACCACAGATTTTGAAAATGTGGAACACTTTATCAGGGAATATAGAATCCTCAGCCGTATTATTGAACCTTTCCCAGCTGTCCCTCCAAATGTTGGCTTTCCCATGGATTGCCTCTTTATTCATCACCTGACTCCCCTACCCATTATCTGCTCTCAAACGCATTTGTTTTCTCAGATGTCATTGGAAGAGCCTCAGAGGAGCTAAAGGATAGAGACTAGAAGGAAATGTGCAAAGAGAAAGGAAAGTTGCAAAGATTGTCTTGCACTGAGAGAGTTACCATGAACCAGGGAGAGACAATAGTTGGTTTTCCGTCCTTTCACTTCCTGCCTTCCCAATTTTCCTCTGACTCTTAGCTTAAATGTCTGCAGCAGCAGATCTCAATGACAGTCTCTGGCAAGCCTGTTTCACTGCAGATCTCTCTGCTGGAGATTCCTGAAATGAGGTTTCTGTTTCATTACCCCCTTATTTTCTTCCCATATTTACTGAGTTGCAGGAGTTAGTGTAAGCACTTATTTCTAATTTTCCCCAGAGTATTCTATGACTGGAAAGCCAGGCGATTTTGAATGGATATTTCTTTTGTAGGATCACTGAGGAAGGACTTGTGAATAAAATAATACAATGTAAATGAATGAGAAATGCACAGAAAAGAAATCGTGCCTTTTTAAAGCCTGCATTAATTTCCATTGAGCTAACCCAGTTTCTTTTCTATCATTCTCATCGTCAAAAATAAATGAAGTTCTTATGCTCCACTGGTTACTAATGTTTAACATTAATTGGATGGAAAGCATTGAAAAAGGCTCATAGTAGAGCTACAAGTATCTTCCATGTTTGTTCATACACACACACACACACACACACACACACATACACACACACACACACCTCCATACACCCAAAATGCTCAAGCAACAGGGATATTCAGAAGATGTGGTTCCAAAGTCATTACACAAAAAACATAGTGGCATGTGTTTTTTAAGGAAAGCAGTATGGATGTATATTTCACTATTAGCATTAATGGCATTGGCACTTTAAATGACCCTTCATTGTCCAGTTCAGGATTTCATGTAAGAGGCAGAGTCTGATAAATGTGAGATTTCCTTCATTGGATTGAGATGGAAGACCATATTACTGTTGTTTTACCAAAGATAGTTTTGTAGAGAACAGCTGGGCTTAAATGTCATTGTGGCTTCTGTGGTTTATAATGCAATGATCTCTTTTAGTACCCTGTATTTTTTATAATGGGTATAAAAAATGACTTCTTTGGAAATGTAGATTTCCTTCTACTTTGATGTCTACGATAATCTCTGCAACTTCCCCATCACCTCTTATTAAATGACCATAAGCGTCAGCAGCCCATATCAACTGTTGCTAGATGTTGGGGAAAGGCCAAAGAGATCCTTTTTGTAGCCCCAAATTTGCTTACTATAAACAAGTAGGCTCTGCATGAAGCAATCAGTGGGTGTCTCTGAAGAGTCACACACTAAATGTATTTGAAGAGTGAACTCCAGGTCAGCCTTAGATAAGGAGTTTGAGCAGGTGAGTGGGGGAGTTTCATGTACAGAGGAATGCATTCCAAGAGCTGCTCTGATTCTGGCAGTAGAGAAGCACTGTGAGCATCCCAAGCCCTCCCTAAGTAGCACAGTCTATTTGGCAGCTGGACCAAGTCCTTATGCATCATTTGACACATTTAACAGTGCTGATTTCCGAAAGAGCCAGGATTCTGCCATTAAAAGGCTGAAATTTTTGGCCAAGTGTTTTTCAACAGGATTGGGATCAAATGATTATTGATGAGATCAAATAAGACACTAAGTGTAACTGGATGAGCTCCCCATGACCTCTAGAGAGACAGGCAGCTTATTGAAAAGCACTTCAGGTTTCGTGGTGATCACACTTGGAACAGGCTGGACTTCCCTGCCTCTGAGGACATATGCTGTCTGCAGTTAGGCAGCTGGCCATGCAAGACTGGGCTCTTGTCTTACTATCACCTCCAGCCTAATTTAAAAGCAGTCTCCCCTGTAGACTTCCCCATATAGTGGACACACCCTGCTGTACCAGGTTTCATGTTTGGGGAAGCATATATCATTGAGATCCCAGTCATTTTCTTGTACAAAAATTCAAGCTTGGGTCTTGCCACTTGGATTGATTTTTCTATTTATCATGTTTGAGAAAATGGATTTATTCTCTTTATATCGGTCCTGATTTATAGAAAATATATTTAACTCCTCTGTGACATGGGATCTTCAGTTATACAAGGGTAGTGGGCACAATTCAGCTCATTTCCCCTGGTTTCTGCCCAAGTGACTGGTGGTCTGGACTAAAGGGCATGCTGATGGGACTTTTTGAGAGGAGGGGAGTGGAAAAGAGTTATTCTGTCACCCCTTGTGATTAAGGGCCTGGGGCAGACTGAAGATAGCTTCCTAAACCTGAGCAGGACCATGGCAAAGGATGTGGTAAAAATGGAAAGCAACCATCTAGGACAAAGGGCTATCTTTGAATTGCATGCCATTTGGGTGGTCTGAGAGGACAAAAGGATATCTGAGAGGCCTTAAAATACATGACATGTTAATGATTTTTTTTTTTTTTTTTTTTCCTTTTGTGGGTTACTTGGAATTCATAAATGGGACCAGTGGTTTAAAAGTCTGAGGCAGCTTCTGGGACTGTATGAATGGTAATGTACCCTCCTGGGACAGTTCAAATCACAGGAAGTATGTGCAGTGTCTGTCCTGAGGTTGTCACATTGCCTACAACTCCAGTTTGTATGTTGTTTTGTAGGTGTTTGAGATCCTGCTTATCCCAATCCCCAGGTAGAGGTTTGGAGGATGTTGAACTGTGGGATAATAGAATGCCTTTTCTTTTAAGGACCTCCCCTGGCTTTGTCCTTACTAAGGAGAGACCTGAAGAATTCAGAATAGATGCAAGCAATGCAGTACACCTGACCCTTGACCTCACATATCTATCAGTCCCTTCTCATTTCATTTCTGGAGAGGGCAGAGAGAGCAAAAGAAGATAGAGAGAAAATTGGAGCGCCCAGAAGGGATATTAGTTATTGGGGTGAATTGGGAGAGTTGGAACTAGTCCAGAGAAGAGCAGAGAGCTGATTTAAGAGTTGAAGGGACTGATTTATGATGAAAGATGAAAAGAATTAAATATATATGGCTGGGCTAAGTGGTGATGAAGGGAAAGCCATGGCAGCAATCTACAAATCTTTGAAGAGGGAGAGTGGCAGTGAAAGAGAGGAGTTATTTAGTGTGGTCTGTAGTAGACATAGGATGCAACTCACAGAAGGAAACTTCAGGTTGAATATCAGGGAAACCTTCTTATTTTTCAGAAATTGATATTCCTTTAACTTTGGAAAGGAATTCCAAGGGAGCAGAGAGTAAGGTAAGATGTGGGTCAGACAAGCCACAGCATTCATAATTAATTAGTTCTATATTTTCAAATGTTGGGAAGACATACTACAGGAGAGCTGGGATGGGGTACAGCAGCAGGATCCAGGATCTTTTGAGATATAATTCCTGAGAGGCTTGGGCACTGGTGTTTCCAGGGGAAACTAAAATAATTGCTTTTTATCTTTGAAGATGGTGGGAAGAGCTTACAAAATTTTTAGTAAAAAAATATTTTGAAATGACTGTGTTTACTGTCTCTTACTTACCCACATACTCTGATTAAACACAGACTATTTCTCTAGGATGTTTATGCTCTCTTCTGTAGATCCAATAGAGAGGCCACTTGCCAGAATATTCTGCATCTACAACACATCTATATGCATGTGCATGAGAATATGGCAGTGAAATTTGAAGTTCTAGACTGATCAATTCTAGATTTAGTGGGCATCTACTGATTTTTTTGAAAATACTTTGAAATAATGATAATGTATACTTACATACTGTCACCTGAAAGAAGAACTTCATTTACCTCCCGTTGAATATTTTTTTTAATTTATAAATGAAAAATAAGAACTATATGGGATTTGGGTATGTGGAGTGGGTTACAGGAGGAGAGTATTATCATTAATAAAAATAAATGTCTCTATAAAGAAGTTGGAGTCCTAGTATGGTGCTACAGGATAATGCACTAGACCGCAAGGTCAGTTTGAACCCCTAGGTCAGCAGTTCAAACCCACCAGTTACTTCTAAGAAACTCTATACAGGATTGCTGTGAGTTGGAATGGACTTGACAGCACTTAGTAACAACAAAAACAGCAATAAAGAACTTGGTTTGCTGAAGATTAGACAATGCTGTACTGTGTGGATGGGTGAGGAGGGAGGATGGGTCAATAAAATCTGTGGTACTCTACCACCCATGGGATTACTGTCAGATAACTTCACTTCATAGGAATTTGCCTAGTTTGACTTGTAAAGGACATTTGCCTTTATTTATAACCATTATTGTTGTAGTTGTTGTTGTTAGTGTTCTATTATTGCTGTATGGTAAGTGCAGTCGAGTTGGTTCCAATTTATAGTGACCCTGTATAGGGTTTCTGAAGAGTGGCTGGTGGGTTTGAATTGATGATCTTGTGGTCAGCAGTACAGTGCTTACCCTACAGTTGTTTGGGACTTTTAAATTTATGGAGCCCTCTCAAATTTATTATTTTTTATCAATTC